TCATATACATTATCACTGTATTAAATGTTTACATAAATAAATGTATTGTTTATATTTTCAATGTTAATTAATTGAATAAATTATTTGTCTAAAAGCTTTTGTGCAAGGGCATATTATTATAGTTTATTGCATTAAAATGGTTAAACTTTTTTTTTTTTTTATCAAACTATCGATTTAAAATTATTATTAGACACTAATAAACGGCGGCAAATAGCTCAAGGTACAAAATACTTGAATCAATGCGGAAGCTTTTCTGGGAATCGTTGAGAAAATAATTATCTATTACTATGCGACACGTGTCCACGTACGTATGAATAAACATTATATATATATATATACTATGAGTAATTACTTATTGTGCGTTCTAATAATTGCGCGAAGAAATCAATGTCGTGGCGACGGCGAGAACCTATTATAGATGTTGTTAAGAATAATTTTTAACCCAACCGATTACTATAAACAAACGCTTATAATATATCCGTTATAAATCGGCAATAATATGATAGATATACGTACCTAAAACGCATTACGCTACATGCTCCCTGCGAATCATAATTCAACATACCACGGTCGTGTGCCCAATTGCCTATAATATAATATACTCGGTTATTGCGACGTGCATCATAACACGAACAGAAAATATCGCTATTTACAACAAATATTGTAGGTAACTTTAAAATATATTATAATACATAAGACATTAAACACGATTTACGTTTCATTCGTCTGTATAAATATATACCTACTGTATATATTGTGAGTACCATGACGTTTTGCGGTACCGATTTTAACTAACAAACTACCTAGTTATAGGGTGATGRCCGAGGAGTGTGGTAGGAAACGAGAGATGGTTACACTGAACGATATATATTATATATATATTATAGATATATATCTATATAAATCTATATATATTATTACGTATTATAATAAATTATGCACTTTATATATACTACCCCGTGCCCCCGTCACCATAAAAAGGGAAAGGATAGGCTATATATAGCAGACAGAGCCCAMTATTATATAATATTTACGTGGTACACATAGGTATAATATAATATATTGAACGGAGTGGAACGACGTGTTATTTCCTGTC